CTCTGCCAGGCTATTCACAAACTAGTTCCTTCAACTTACCATTTGTTATTGTTTTTCATCCTTCATTTTTGAAGAGGACCAATGACATCATGGGGTGATATGGCATGGTCCCCAGCATCCCAGGCTATTCTGCCTGCCTCCCCAGGACAGTTAGTTGATCAGCGTCCTTCTCAAGACATGGTGAACATATCTCCACTCACCTAGCCAGCCATGCAACCAATACCCATTGGATTTATTTTTATGTCAACAATGTAGAAATCCCATGGAGATAGAGCTAGAGAAAAGAAATGACAGCATGGAGTTTGGGCCATAATTCTACTTAACTGTTAATTCAATTCAGTTCATTGATAGCTAAAGATCGCTTCTTCAAAGCTGTGTGCTGAACACTAGGGGAGCTATAGAGTTGAGATCATAGACTTAAAGCAGGAAGGAAATAGATTAGAGCTGGAAGGGATGGTTGGGCCATCCAGCCCAATCCCTTGATTTTACTTAAGAGAAAACAGATCCAGAGACAGGAAGTGACTTATCTAAGATGACACAGTACAGGGTCAGTGGCATGATTTGCAACCTATTCCTTTGACTCAGAAGTCATTGGTGTTTCTCTTGGTAATTGATGGCAGGGGTATGTGTGTTTTTAGAGAGTGCAGAAGAAGGGAGCTTTGAAAGTGCACAGAGACAAGTTGCTGTTTCTCCACTGAGAAAGAAAGAAAGGTGTTTTTGACATCCCACAGAATCTCAGGTGTGGAAGTAGCCTCAAAGGCATCCAGCCCAACCCACACCTGAGAAAAGATTCCTTTGAAAGGGGGCTTTTGAATATTTTTAGTGTGTCATGGATGCTCTTGGCAGTCTGGTGAAGCCTGTGGACCCCTTCTCAGATGAGTGTTTTTAAATGCATAACATAAAACATGTAGGAATACAAAGGAAACCAATTCTATTGAAATGCAATTATCCAAATCCTTGAAAGAAGAGATGTGTGTAGAGGGCTGAGACTACCCAGCCCATGTTGTACCTTGGTACGTGGTATGTGTGCATATGTGTGAGTGGAGAGGAGGGTGCTTTTTAATGGGGGTGATAAACTTTCCACCCAGCCCCATAGAGTGTTATCCCTGCCGGGTGACTGCCTGCCTGCTCCTCTCTTCCCCACCCCTTCTCTTCTCCCCCCTCTCCCCTTCCTTCCCTCCCCCTCCTCCAGCTTGGCAGCCAGAGCATGACAGAAGCCGTGCCAGCTTAGGGCCTTAGAAGCAAAGTTTCATGTGCTGGGCGGCTCTGGGCTCCCAGAGGTGTGCTAATCCCTTAAGAGGTGTGTGGCAGGAGATGAGAGACGGGAAGAGGCTGGGAGGAAATCCCCATGGGGGCGCGGGCCTGGCCCTCGGCTCTAATCCCCCCCCAAAGATCAGGCTCGGGTCCTTCAGGAAATGCATGGGCTCGGGAGCTTCAGAAGCAGGGAAGTGGTAATTAGAGAAGAAGGCTGCTTTCGACAGAGGCAGTTCCGAGATCGAAGGGGAAGAGGAGGCGGGAGTGGGGGGAGAGTTGGGGGGACAGGAGCGTTGGGAATGAACCTCAAGAAAGGTCAGGAATAAAAAAGGAGGTGCAATGGTAGTCCCCAGAGCAGGGACACTAGCACCCCAGGTTCTCATCTGAGCTCAGATTGCCCAGGACAGTATATTCTATCACTTCTTTCCTGCGGAAGAGAAAGGGTGAGCTATGGCCAGGGAACTGGGGTGCTTCAACTTGCGTTCTTCTTACTCCTGAAATCAGAATCTCACATCCTCAGAACTGAAAGGAGCTTCAGAAGCCAAGGAGCCCCTCTTAAAATAACAAGTGATCCAGCCTTTGCTTGCAGATTTCTATTAAGGGGAACCCCACTTTGGGGGGCATTTGTAATTGTCAGTAAACTTTGCCCCCCTACATTTGCCACCCATCGCTCCAATCTCAGCCATTAGAGGCAAGTGGAAAAGTCTATTCCCTCTTCCACAGGTCAACCACCCTTCAGATGTTTGAATACACCCATCTTGCCCCACTCCACCCTGCCCCCAAGCCTGCTCTTCCCCAGGCTAAACATCCCCAGACCCTTCAGCTAATCCTCAGGTAATATGATTTTGAGGCTCTTCCCCATCCTGACTGCCCTGACTTGGACCTACACCCTACCCCATGCAGATTCAGCAGAAAACCCCCCTCCTGTCTGGGACAGGCTCTATAACTGTCTTAAAGTAGCCAGGTGTTGTGGTAATGGTAACATGCATTTACATGGCTCTTGAAGGTGTGAAAAGTAATTTCCTCATAACGATCCTAGGAGGCAGGTAGTATTATCATTCCCGTTTTTGGTATGGGTGAAGAAAGTTAGCTCTGAGAGATTGTGATGTGCCCAGGACCACCCTGCTAGTGTCTGAGGCAAGGGCTGAACTCTGGTCTCCTGACTCCAAGTCCCAGGCTCTGATAGGCCATGCTGCCTTCCACATCTTGTTTTGTGGAGTCCTCTGAGGTTTATCCAAAGCAAAACTTTAGAAGTGTCAAGAATAAAAGAAAAAGTGACAGGTTTATTGCTAGTCCCTACTTAGGCGGGGCCTGTAATAAGGAACAAAGCCAGGATTTGAATCCAGGACTGTTCTCTAAGAACCCTCAGGGGGATTGGGGGAATACTAACCAGGGTCCTAGGATCACTCATTAGGGAATTACTCAATAGTGCCATCCAGAAGTCACCCACCATTCCACCCTCCCAACCAGGAAATGCTCTGATGTCTTGCTTTCTATGCATAGACATCTGTCTTTACAGGCAACGGTGAGATGGATGGACAGAGGATGCCAGCTAGATGGAGAAAAGGCTGAAAGGGCAGCATCAAAACTGCTCATCCCCTGCCTGAATTTCAAGAGAAGTCTGGTCCTGTAACTAGGCACTCCCAGGGCCAATCATCATCTGGGGAAACAGAGGCACAGAGCCTAGAAACATAGCCAGCCAGTGGCCAATAAGGAAAGGAGCAAACAGCACCTCTGAAATTGGCTGCCTTCTTCCCACTATAAATGGAATTTTCTGCTTTCACAGCAGTATGTTCCCAAGACAATAGTGTAGTCCCAGTATTGGGAAGTAGTGGTGTCGAACCCAAATAAAAACAAAGGGCGGGGCACTAAATAGTACATAAGGGTCCCTGTGGGCCACATATTGACTTAGAAAACCTTCTATTGTACTTTCATTTATTTTGTTAAGTACTTCCCGATTACGTTGTCATCTGATTCTAGCCCCTGGAAGCCCACGTTTGACATCTCTGTTGTAAGGGACCCCACAGAAAGTGTTTATTGTGCCAGTAATAGGGTACTGTGATTCCATTAATAGAGAGAACTCCCATGGAGGAAACTCCTTCTTCCAAAAAAAATTCACACTTTCTTTGTGACTTAAGAATTTTAGATCATCTGGGCACTGAGTGCCCAGAGCGCTGAGGGGTTAAGAGGTAAGCCCAGGGTCCCACCACCAGTGTGTACCAGAATGGGGACCTAAACCCAAGATCTTCTTGCTTTGAGGCCAGCTCTCTCTAATCGCTATATCATGTTGCTGCTTGCTGATAATAATAGCTCACATTTTAATATTGCTTTAAGAGTTAGTAAAATACTTTCCTAACAACAACTACCCTAAGGTAGGTAGTACAAGTATTTTTTCTTTATCCCCATTTTACAGATGAGGAAATTGAGGCCCATTGATGTTAAGCAATTTGCCCAGTTGGTGAGTGAGAGCTGGGATTTGGACTCATGTCAAATAACAAGGGATCCTGTCCCAAAGGCAGAGACAGAAGGGAGGAATGCTGTAGGTTTATTTCTGAAAAGGGGAAGAGATACAGATTTTCCCAGTCTCCAAGTTCAAACAATCTGGTTTTTGATTCCTAGAAGATCTGGATTGTGATTCACATTAGTCACTTTTACTGTCCCCCCACTCCTCACCCATGCTTCATTGAAGTCTCAAGTACCTTCAAGACCCCTAAATGTAGCTACTGGAAAAAAGAAAGCACAGAGGGATTAAATGGGAGAGTTAGCATTTGAATGCACAGCTCCCAACTCCCCAGTCTATATTTTGCCCCTCTAGAGATGGCTTTTCTTGGCCTGAGCTATACCTCTAGGGATGCCACTCTGGCCCAGCCCAGAACTATCTGCACTTCTCCCTTCTGTATGAGTCTGAGCTCTGGCTCAGTAAGAATGAGACCAGAAGAGCAGATTGTAAACATTTCTCTGGCCTCCTGGGCTCATCCTGAGCTAGAGATCCTAGATAAATAAATAAAGTGCTCTTGAGGGCCCTGTAGACTACAATGAGACTGCATCCCCACCCCCTTCTGCTCCCTCTTCCCAAGCTGGGGAGGGAAGAGTCTACTAATGATGATCAATGCTCTCTCCCTCAACTTTGCACAAATCACACGCCATTTAACTCAGGCTTCAGCCATCCCCCAGAGATTCCGTTGGACAGCCTCCCCTGAGCACATGATTTGACAGTCCTCTAACAGAGTCTGGCCCTCCCTACCTCTGTGGCTTCTCTTGCCCCCTCGTCTAATCTTGAGAGTTCCCAGCCCTCTAGGTAACCTCTTTGGATGACTATCCTCCAGAGCAGCCCAGCCACTTCCCACTGCAGCCACTCTGGGGTACAATTCCACTCCACTGACCACAGCCACTTATTCAGTCAGATGTCTCAGCTGTTTTGTGATTCTCTTCCTCCTGAACGACAGGCAGAGGCCTTACTTCATCTCAGAGCACAGAAATAGATAAATTCCCGAGGAATTCCTTTCATGTATAGGAAAAGAAACCTAGGGAAAATATACAAAGCCAGGGAGCATTTTAATGGGATGATACTGCATGCAGGCACCTGGACCCCAAAGCAGGAGCTGAGGGGCTCCAGGAGATCGCCTCCAGAAAGTGCTGGAGAAACACTGAGATGCAGCCGATAAGGGGAGAGGAGAAGGAGTTTCCTCAGAATGTTTCATAAACGGTTGTGCCCTTCCAACTTGCCCATTTCTTTTTCCTTGCAGGATGCCCGTTCACTGGCAGCAGCCGCTGCCCCCCCTGACAGGACCCCGAGCTAACACGGTGCTGGAACGGGTAGAGGGTGCCCAGCAGCGATGGAAGCTGCAGGTGCAAGAACAGAGGAAGACGGTGTTTGATCGCCACAAGATGCTCAGCTAGATGGGCTGGGTCAGTTAGGCCGAGGGGAAGGGGAGGCAGTGGGGATGGGGGTTGGGGGGCCTGTTTTTCCCCCCTCTCTCCATCTCTTTTCTCTCTCAATCCTTCCTGTTACAAGCCCGTGGCAATGTCCTTCTTTCCTACCTACCCTCAACTTCTCTTCTCCCTCAGACATGATGTTCTATGCCAGTGACCCAGGGAGGGTTCCTCAACGCATCTCAGGGCTTTGGATTTGGGAGGGGGTAACAGACCCAGAGGGAACAAAGATATTTCCTAGAGTCACCAGGATGGGGTAGGAAATGTCTTCCCTCCTCCTATGCCTTCCCCAACTTATCTCCAAATCCTGGAGAGCCTCAAAATCCCTGGGAGGGTGAAGCAAGGGCAAGTGGAATGTCTTAGTTTGGGGTGGAAGAAAAGAAGCCCTGCCCAGCATGTCCCTGCTCCTATGTCCTCTGCTGTGCTATAGATTCAATGAGACCATGCCCCACACTCACACAGACACAATCGCCACACTCCACAACTTCTGCTCCATCCTGGCCCAAGTCCTGAAGTCACTTCCATTGGAAAGCTGACATTTTAGCTAAGGCCCAAGGTTCTGTAGTCAAGGTATAGCCTTCCCGACGTCTTCCTCTCTGTGTTCATTTCTTCTCTGGGTGTAGTCCAGGACCCCCATCTATTATTTATTTTACTGCCGAATGTCCTAATGTTGGGGGACAAACTTCTCCCATCCTAACCAACTGAACACTGAGACCACCCCAATCCCCTCCACTCCCAGCTGCTAATTCAAAGGAAAATGGCTGGATCCTCTGACATCCTAGGGGGAGGAGCAAATTCACTCCTGAGCATCAGAGCCTAAGTCCCTGGTATCCGCATCATGTTCCCAAAGATTATTCCCTCAATGCATGGAGAGAAGTGTCTATCCTTACCATCACTTTGCAGTCCTGCCTGTAAGCCAAGGAAATAATGATTAAATCATGTTTTATCTCCCCCTCCATCCCCAACCTTCAGGATCTCAGGAGCCTTTAAGAACCAGAAGTAGATTGGGGGGGGCATATTTTTCTCTATTGTCTGAGTGGGAAAACAGATCTGGAAAAAGGATCTGCCAGTAGCTCATGGGGCTAGAGGGGACAGCAGAACCCAGGTAACTTGTCTTCCAAACCAAGCCCTGTTGATGGCAGACCCTTCAGATGGAGCAGTTTCACTGGGGGGAAGAGTAGCCCAATCATGGGAATCCCTGGATTCCAAAGCTGTGGGTGTGTGAATAACCACCATGAGGCCAGAACTTCCAGTCCTTGAGATCACCCCTCATCCCCCATTTTTGCTTATCCTGTTTGGTGCTCTCTTCAGACCAACACCTGGTGCTGTTCTGATAGTGGACAAACTGAGTGAACCTCAATGACTGTGAATACCCGGGAAGACCTTTGACATTGAAAACCACCAGGGTCTAGGGCTGGGCTAGGGAACCTGTGGTCTTGAGGCCACCTGTGGCCCTCTAGATCCTTAAAGAACAAATCCCCTTAATCTGTGAAGTTTTGATTCAGTCAAAGGGCCACACTTGAGGATCTAGAGGGCCACAGGTGGCCTTGAGGCTGCAGGTTCCCCACCCTTGGTCTAAGGGTTAGGAATTGGAGGAGGACAGTCAGAGAAGTGGGGATTACCCAGGACAAGCATATGGCCCCAGTGTCTGAGGCCTCCCAGAAGAATATTGGATCAGCCATTGAGCACAGTGGAGAGATAATAGTGGAAATGGATAGAAAAATGAAAAAAACCCAGCTAGGAAGAACAGATCAGGCAAAAACAGCAAGTAATTGAAATTCCTGCCCTAGGAACGTAGAAGTAAGTGTGCTGAACACCCCCATACATGGAACCCTACTGTAGACCATGAGGGGACTTCTAAAAGAACAGAAATTTCTGGGACACAAGCCCAAAATTACAAACAAGTGGTTTGAAGAACTGCAAGTATTTAAACATAGGACATGGTAGAAAGATCAGAAAGGAAGAAAGAATGACTTGAGAGATGAGACCCAGCTAGGGATGGTCAGAGAAGGCTTCCTGGGAGAGTAAGTGTAGAGCAGCATTCTGAAGGACTAGAGAACATGGTTGGAAGGAACCTCAGGGTGGGGATGGAGGTATGTAAGGCAGAGGAAGCAGGCACAGGGATGTAGAGGTTGAAAGAAATGAGCTAAATGTGGGGTGCTACACAGAAGAAGGCAGCTGGAGTGAAGTAAGAGGTGGAGGTCAAAGGGACATGAGAATAACATGAAAGGAGCCGCTGAGACGTCACGGCAGCATTGCTCCCAGACAGACCACATGGGGGGGGTAGAATGAATGGGCAGCAGAGAATCAATGTGCGATTATTAAGCACCTACTGTGTAAGTACATTGGCACCTGGGTGGTTGAGTGGATAGAACCTTGGGCTGGGAGCCTAGAGGAAGACCTGGGTTTGAAACCCACATCTGATGCTTTTTAGCTGTTCGAGCCTGGGTACATTGACAAAACCTCTCTCGACCTTTTCCCTTATCTCTAAAATGGGGACGAGGATGATAATAGTACCTAATAAACAGAATTGTTATGAATATCAAATGAGATCATTTAAGGCTTTAAAGCACCAGAGAGAGTGACCCAAAAGTCTTAGTGCTTAAATCCATACTTAGTGTTCCAAACCACAACGGGGTTCTACCACTAAGACTTTTGGGACACTCTGTCAATGCTCTTACTGTGAGCCAGGCACTGTGCTAAGCCCTGGGATACAAAGAAAAAAGCAAAAACCATCTCTTCTCTCAGGGAGCTTATATTCTTTTGAGAGAGAAAGAACATGTGCATAAACAGACATGTCCAAGTTGCATACAGAGTGGTCAGATGGTAGCCTTAAAGGGGAAAATGCTGGCTGCCAAGAGAACTGGGAAGGGCCTCCTATGGAAGATGGCTGAGTCTTGAAAGAAGCCAGAGCTTGTAAGAGGTGGACATGAAGATGGAAACCGTTCCAGGCACAGGGGAGAGCCAGTGAAAAGACATGGAGTGTAGGGTACAAGAGACAGCAGCAAACCAGATGTTTCTGGATTTTACTGTGGAAGGAGAGGAAGGAAAATATCAGAAGACTGAAAAGGTTGGGGAAGGGCCAGGTTGGGAAGGGCCCAAAATGCCTAACACAGCATTCTCTATGGGATCTTGGCAGTAATAGGGATTCACTGGAGTTAATAAAGCCTATGAGGAGAGGTTGATGTGGCCAGATATGTGCCCATAGGAAAATCACTTTATCAGCTGGATGGATCAGAGAGGGGAGGAAACTTGATGCAAGGAGACCAATGAGGAGGCTACTGCGAGAGTTCAAGGGAAAGGTGGGAAAGAGGAGGAACCAAGCATTTATTAATCACCTACTGTGTGCCAGGCACCATGCTAACTACTTTACAAATATGTAATCATTACAACAACCCTGGGAGGTAGGTGTCATTATTATCCCCATTTTACCAGTGAGGAAACAAGCAGACAGAGGTTAAATGACTCGCCCAGAGTCACACAGCTAGTGTCTGAGCCCAAATTTGAACTTAGGGCTTCCTGACTCAAGGCCTAGTGCTCTTATCCACTTATCATCTAGCTGTGCCTAGGCCTGAGCTAGGATGGTGCCTCTGAGGGTAGAGATGGAAAGGACCAGATGTGGCCACTGATCAGATGTGGGACAAGTGACAGAAGGGGAACTGAGGATGACTTGAGTTTAAGAATATTGGCGACTGGCAGAGAAACAACACAGTCTACTTCCATAGTTATTATAAGAGATGGCACCTTCTGGGAGTGTGGAAGAGAGTGTTCTATGGGAAGCAATTAACTATAGGCCTCTGTGAGTCAGAGGGATGGATGAGATGACTTTTCATTATCCTCAGTTCTAGGAACCTCTTTCTATGGCATACCCCCTGCCTCTCAAAAAAAAAAATCTTATACCACTTCACCTCTAAAATGTTCTATGTGCATAATTCTCAAGAACTTTTTATTAGCCTTGCAGATGGTCTGAGTTCACTAATTAGAAGTGTCTGCTCTAAAGAGAGAAGGTGTATCTGATTTTAAGCAACCCCAATATAGGAAAATAAATTACAGAAAATATTTTAGTGGGCGATTCATTATTCACTTAACAAAAGGGCACCTTATGGGATTGCTTAAGGTAACCATCTCCATGTTTATTTGAAATATGACAGTTTATGGAAATGCCTCACATACTTCTTTTCTAGTAGTACATCTACTGTGTGGAACAAACTAGATGTTCTGCCTTCTAAAATGAAGAAAGGTCCAGGGTTTTAGAAGGATATGTGGACCCCCTTTGGGTATCCTGAGAGGAGAGGAAAGAAAGTCTTATGAGAGAATACTGCAGAGATAGTACAAAAATGCTTTCTTTTGTTGGGCTCAAAAACAATGTATTGTAATATGCATATTAGCCTGGGATAATCAATGGAGTACTTGGTTTTTTCAGAAAGTAGGACCAAGGTTCCTCACCTCTGACATTTTCTAGCTGTGTGACCCTGGGCAAGTCACTTAATCTCCATGTGTTTCAGACAACTTCCTAGGACATGGCTACTAAGTCAAAGATTTAGTTGTGATTTGCTTGGGGGTGAAAATTCCCAAACTAGGATTCCCAACACTGATGAAATCCCAGCTCTTCAAGCATTTACATGATACAAGTATTTGGCATAAACTTTCTAGGTACCTTTGATGTATCATGTACAAGAGTCCAACGTAGGTCCCACCAAAGCCCCCAGTCCTTGCTGTTTCAGGCTGGATGGGCTGGACCTAAGTTGGACAAAGCTTTACAGTCAACAATCTCATCACCAAGTCTTTCTAGAAGGAAAGGCTCTAGCATACACTCCTTTCTAGAGTGTGAGATAGAGGGATTCTGAAAGAAAGCAATGTGCTCAGGGAGGGAGGAAGGCATTTTTCAGCGGCCTCCTTCATGTCACCTTGTATCCTGGGGAATGGGCCAGACTTGACGGTATAACAGAATGTATGCCCAGCTCATTTTCTGGGCATAGGGTTCCTTGGTTTGGGGCCAGCACCAATTTGCTCTAAGAGATGCTGCACCCTGGAAGGTGCCATGGGAGACTTTGTAAGGCCTGGAAAAACCAATCTGGATTTGCTAACTTATGTTTCTCCACCATTTCTGCCAACTCTCATTCATCTTTATACATGGTGACCAGAACCTTTGGGCAGGGGGAAAGCTTGGTTTGGGGGGGGTACAGGACAGGGGCTTCTGGTCCCACTCTGAGCCACCAGGTTTGAAGGATCTTCAGAGGTCAATTTATACAACCAGTACCTGAACCTGTCTGCAGCATCCCCCCAAAGTGGTCATCCAGACTGTCCCTAAAGATCACAGGATCAGAGAGCTAAAAATGACCTAGCTGATCCAAGAACTTCATTTTGCAGATGGGGAAACTGAGGCCCAGGGAAGTTAAATGTCTTCTTGCTCGGGTCACATAGGGAGTAAGCATCAGAGGAAGGAAATAAACCTAACAGAGAGGAGTACCTACCTCACTGAGACAGCCCACTCACTTTGAGATCATTGTGGGTTGTTGTTATACTGGGCCAAAATCTGCCTCTACAACTTCCATGCATACTCCTAGTCCATTCCCTTGGGCCTAAGTGGAAAAGTCTGATCATCCTTCTGCGTGGTACATATTCTCAGCTATCGAGTCTCCCTGTCCAAATCTTGGCTTCTCCAGGCCAACCATCCTTCAACTCTTCCTCTACCAGGGATGTCTATTCCTTGCCCTTCTCCAGATGTACTTCAGTTTGTTCATAGTCTCCCTAAAATGGGGTGCTCAGAAATGAACACCACCAGCCAGGATTGGTCCGAAGACAGATACAGACAGAACGTTATGAGAAGCCACATCATGTCTATAATACAAGTCACTTAGAACAGAAACCATTTGAGGAGGGTGATAGAGCCTCAATTATCCCGATTTTTGTAGGGAAAAGGAACGTTGGGTAACTCAAAAGAGCAAATGACTCAAATATCCACTATCTTGGCTTTGGCACACCATCAGGGACACATACCCAGACAAACACACACTTGGATATTAAAATAATCTCTCCCTCTGTTCTCGATCCTGATTCCTTGCTTGTAGACATGGTCCTGTTTTCAATAATCTAA